GCACTGGTGTCCACCATCACTTATGCAGTTCAAAAAGCCCATTTAATAATCCAGAAGTACCGCGGGTGATAACAGTCCCATCAAAGTGTCAATCGAGGTGTGCTTGATCCGAATTACGAACCAAAGCAGGATCAGAATGTCTTTGAAGGCGTGTTCCGCGCGTGATGAGCGCGGCGCCGGAGTGCGGCCGGCTGGCGTCGTGCCGGCGCGCCCTGTCCCGCTGGCTGACGGCGACCTCTGACTGCCGCGTTTCCGGCAGGGCTGCCGCTGGAGCTGCCGTACCAGCTACCGTTGGCGGCGGCGCAGCCCCTCTTCCCCGCGGCCGTCCAGTCCAGCCAGGCCCTCACCCCCAGCACCGACCCCAAGTGAGTGGCGGCGGTGGTGTCCTCGTGGCTGAGCGCCGGAGCCCAGCTCCTCACTGGCTTTCGACCTGAGCTCCGCCTGTTGAGATGACGTCATAGATATGCACCAGCGGAGGACGTCTTTAATTCGAAATGTGGCTACAACTGGAACCAGCAGGTCCAACCGATAGAGACATATAGCACGCAGGAATGGCGCGCTTGAATATTATTCGAATAACCTTTGTTGGCAAGTGATCTGCAGCTAAGTACATCAATATCGATCACACTTTCCGCATTAGAGTGGAATCTGCCCGTTCGCCGGACATACCAGGCCGTCAACAGCGCATCGACCGTTGCTGTGCGTTGTCAGGTCAGCACCGACAACTTGCTTGTAAACAAACGCTCTTCGTCTCTCGGCCGAGTAGGGAATGGGCCGGCGTGGTGACGTCATAGGTAAGGGATGGCTCACCCCGAAGTAAGGAATGGCTTCCATCGGCTTATGAAAACGGGCATCAGGTTGTCGGCGGCTCCAGCGCCGTCTTCGGTGGCTCTAGCACTGCTCCGTTGTCTGGGTTATTTCCAACATCACTTCTGAGTCTGTTGCTTGCTGATTGCCGTGTGTGGTCGCCAATATCAGTAAATACAAATTAGTACACGTGCCGAGCAGTGCCTTGGAAATGATAATTCGTTAGTGGTTAGCATTATGGACGTGGTGTGGCCTGTGCGTTAAAATGGAGTAATCGCCTGAATAGCCGGCGAAGCCTATAGCAGCTGCGATAACTGTAAATTAAAGCGCTTCTTATTTCAGGCGGGCGAATGGTCCGAATAAAAGTAAATCACTCACGTGTAATTAGCGCCGGCTGCCATTGAGCGGAGCCGTCGTCGCCGGCGGAGCTCGGTGTTATAAAGCGGCGCCCTGGTGGCCAGTACCGGGTGTGAATCATTGTTATTGTCGGGCGGCGGCTTGCCTCGCGTGTCGCCGGCGCCCGCCGAGGCTCGAGCGCGTGTCATAACAGAGCGCCACTAAGTGGCCGGCTGAATAATTCAGCGCCGGGGTGGCCGGCGCCACTGCGGTCAGTAGCCGCCAGGTCAGGACCCTCACTCCCCGAGGGAGGAAGAGCGAGACCCTCAGGGCCCTCACCTCCCTCGAGGGAGGAAGACCGAGACCCTGGTGTGGGGCGCGGACGGTCAGGACAGCGTCTTCAGGCGGGACGAGCCTGGCCAGAGGCAATCAGGGCTCCGATCCGGCTTTTTAGAAATAGAGCAACGACGAGGCGACTTGCGTCTTAAATTAAAGGCGGATATTTCACCGCAGGTGTTGGCGGTGGTGAGACGGTCTCTGCTTAAGCCTGTGACCGGCGTGATCACGTGGCCATCGCTGTGAGCGGTGTGACCACGTGACCTGCGCTGAGACCGGTGTGACCACGTGGCCAGCGCTGGGACCGGTGTGACCACGCGACCTCCGCTGTGACTGGTGTGACCACATCGTGCTACACATACTTGACAGGGGTTCAAGCCAGGGCTCTGATCCCTGGGGAGTGTATGGATCCCCTTCCGGCGGCGGTACCGGGAGCTGACTCCAGGCGTAGTCTCCCGGCTCGCACGCTTCGAGTTCGTTCGAGCGTGCGAAGGCGTCGGAACAGCGAAGCGCGTCGGTAGAAAGCTCACTCTTGAACGCAACTGCGCGAGCGCTGGGCATAATTTGGAGGAGGTGAGGGAGTAAGCGGTTCAAATTTGGTCGCACGATGGTCCCTGGGTGCTGTCAGGACCGCCTCAGTCACTGGCGCTTTAAACTAAGGGCATGGTTTGACGTGCGCCGTGTAAGCCGCGTGCTCCCCCCCCCCCCTCCGCACCTCGTAAAAAACTCGTAGTCTGAACATGCAGCGCGTCACTCCATGCAGCTCAGACCTGTCATTGCCCAGCCTGTCCAGCTGCAGAGCCTTCCCCATGCCATGGCTTCCCCTCTGGCCGCCGCCGCCGCCGCTTCCCGGTCAGCGGCGGCGGCGGTCCCGGCGCGTTGCTGCTCAGTATAGTGGTCGGGGCCGCTGACGCCGGCTGGCTGCCGCGCTGGGGGAGGGGGGGGGGGGGGGGCTCCGACACCCCGACGAGCCGCGCCGCCGCCGTGCTCGACGTCTGCCGGATCACACAGTCACTGAGCACACGTCTGACGGACAATGCGATTGTCTTTTGAAGCGTGATGTGCGACGCGCCTGTCGTCATCTCCAGCAGTTCTACGCATGTGTGATTCCCCACGCGGGGTTTTTCTTCGTGTCCTGGTGCGCGCTAAATGTACCAGGATCATTCCCATTAACTAGAGCGCGCTTTGTAGAGAGCTGATACCACCACTCGCCAGTGCCGGCTAATGAAACGAGTGTCATATAAGGCTAATTTATGAGGACTCTCTGGCGCGGCTTGATCCGATAGCATTTGACGGCGGCTCCGCCTTGGCTTGCCTGCACGCACACATATCGTCGGCCGGTGGATTCGTTTGAAGAGAACGTCATTTTCTGGGCCGTCGCTGCTGTCTGGTGGCGAAAGCGCCGTCGCGTGCTGTCGGGAGTATCAGACGTTGGCGGCTCACGGCACTGTACCACGTGGGCTTATTCCCACCGCGCGGGCTCGAAATCAGCGGCGGTGACACCACATGGCGCCAACCACATCGTCACGCCCCCACTGTAAACGAACCCCTCCCGGGCGCGTGATGCTGCGGAGCGTGCCTTCCCCGCATCCACCGGTGCCACAAGGAGGCGATCAGGCCCGCCGTGCGGCTCCGTCCTCCGTCGCCTGGCCCTGATCAGG